AACTTGTCTTCTTACAGTTTCCGATCACGTTCTATTACACTTCACATAGATACGTTTTAACTAATCCTTTACCGAGTAGGTTAATGTTATTATAATGCGAAACACTCTTATTACTCCCGAGTCAGCTGTCTCTCACTTGAGACATGTAACGTACGCCTCTATACTCGTCAGTATCTCTCTCTACTCTCCCTTCGCGTAGGTGGTCCAACTCTTTATATATCATTCATGAAATTAGGGAATTAGGTTACCGACCTAATTACCTAACAATTCAAAAGTGTAACGTGATGTTTCTGCAGCGCGTGCACTTTTGATTTATTTGCCGTATTTCGCAATGTTCGTTTATGCAATACATGCATTTCGGCTGAAACGTCTTTTAGCGTTTCAACATGTTTTGTCCTACATAACACATTTAAAAAAACAGATTTGATCTTTACTTATTTTCTACGCCTCCACCTACAAAACAATTATTGACATCACATTATGTGCCCCTCGAAACCAAGCAAATCTTTTTTGGCATTTTTCCTTCTATTGTTAAAAACAAAGGAGTTATTCAGGTGATCTGTAAATGTCTCACTCCGTATATACTCGAGGATCATTTATCACTCCATTTAAATAAATTGCTCAGTAGTCTCAGTTTACTTAAAAAAAAAAGTTTTTATGTTTACATGTATAAATAATTTCTAAAAAATTATTTTTATACATGACGTGCAAGTGCAGACTGTCCAAAATAAATTATGTCATTAGAGTATTGATGACAAAACAAGATAGATTTAAAATCTATTTTATAATAATGTTAATATAGTTTATTGTAATCAAAACATATAATGTAAGAACATTTATATAAACTTAAAACAATAAATTATTATAGTACAGCAAAATTTCAAATTCTTTTATCTGTCAATGAATATGCTACAATGTTTTCAAAAAAATGTGGGATGTTTATATGATGTTCCCGTGGAGGTTGGAAGTTATCCTCATCATCTTCATCAGATGGGTAATCAAAAAATATTTCCCACATTTCTAGTACATCCATTTTTTATCTAAAAATGTTTAGTTATAATAAGTATTAAAGTATAAAAGAAATAACTCAAATAATATTAAAAAATAGTAAAATAAAAATATTAAAAAATAGTAACATTAAGAAACGTTTGTAGAATTACATACAATTTAAAACAAACTGTGCAAACAAATCTTCTATCTTGTTTTGTCATCAATATACCATAATAGCATAATTTATTGTGGACTTGCACATGCATGTAAAAGTCATGTAAAAACAATACTTGCAAATAGGTTAGAACAGTGTGACTATTTATTTTAGGATAATAATTGAAAAATATAATATATATTTTAGTGGTTATATAACTCTTTAATTAAAAATAAACTTTTAGAAAACAACACCAGATGATTTTATAATCAATAATACAATTTTACAAAATTATTATCTCGTGTATTTGTCACGGTATTGTTCTGCCTAACCCACTGCTTGCAATCGTGAGACAGCATTAGGTAGCTTTGGGTTGTCATGAATCACATAATAGTAGAAGATGGTGATGTCTGTAATTTATTTCTGTTCTAGGAAAATGACTCGGAGAGGTATTATCGGAAACACCCTAAGTCTCGAATAGACTTGGACGGCGTGTTTGATTTGCGTGGATGCTGCGTCCTGGCAGCGACTAAGACCCATATTCTGAATCCTCTTTTATCTATAAAAGTGCCTCTAAAAGAGGCTTGGGAGCCACCTAATTGGCTGAGAAGTAGGGATGTTCCGATTCGTATCGATATTTTAAAATATCGATATAAGGATATTTGATATTCGATATTTTGAATCGATACTTTGAATTTCAATATCGTTGCGTATCGATAAAAAACCTAGATATCAATTGATTTGATAGCTAGAATGGTGTTAAAAAAAAGAAAAAATCACAGGATTACCTATGATTTTATATTATTTCATTTCTATTGCCACGATGAAAATGAAGGACTCTGATTAGTCAATTTTCTTATGCGTTGTACATTATAAATTTATGCAAGAGTGTGTGCTTTTCGCTTTAACTTATGTTGTAATCCATAAGGAATGGACCAATCGCAGTTGAACATTTTTGTAAAAATCAACTGCAATTGGTCAATTTCTTATGGATTACAGCATAAGTTAACGTTTATGGCCATCATAAATCGGCCTTTAAAGTGCCTTTACATGGGAGCATCGAGCGTCGAGCGTTAAAGCGGTAGCCAATCAACGTGCCACTTTCCGCAAGAACTACAATATACTTCTGGGACCTGATACGTTGATTGGCTAACGCTTTAATACTCGACGCTGGAACGCTCCCATATATTGGCACCTTTATGCTTTTATACAAGAGTGTGTACTTCCCGCTTTGGCTGCGTTCCGAAATTCACTGCTAATACTGAAAATCTATAGTTCATGCTACGTGTACCATTTCGGAACGCAGCCATAATGTTTTCTGAGCGTAGTCGCCATTGTATTTCCAAAACGCCCAATATGTAATTTTCTGATATTACGTTATACGATAGTTATTATAATTATAATTTGGGTTCTACAATTATTTCTCAAATTGATCTTAGTTGTTTACATTTAACATATAGAATTTATAATGCGGCCTAAAAGTGATGTTTAGCAAGTTTTTGAAAAAGATGAGAAATGTATTAAATGCAGGTTATGTTTGGCAGAGATTAAAACATGTGAAAACACAATTAATTTAACATCTCACCTAAAGAGACATCACCCAGATTTCCCTTTAAAAAAGAAATCTAAGGTAACTACTATATTGAATAACCGTAAAAATATTTAATATTTACAAAATTTTTTTTATTTTAGCAAATAAAGTTGACTGATGCAACAAGTAACGAAAATGATATACAAAGTGATAATAATTTTTCATGTAATAAGAATATTTCTATGTTTCAACCCAAGCAAGTAGATTTGAAACAGAAATCTAATATAGAATCAGATATAGATTCTATTTCAGAAACCTCGTTCATTATCAGCTAATTAAGTCAAGTATCGACAACCTCTAATCAATGAAAGCTTTTCAAATATAAAGTCATTTTCAGGTATATTTTCAACTTATAACAAAATACATTTTATATTGAACCTTGCAACATTTCCAAAATAAAAAAATATAAGAATATATTATTATTACATAACAATTATAATAATAACTGATGTCTTTATTTTTTAGATGGAGGAACAAAAGCACATAAAATAACTAACAGATTGATATATATGATTTGTAAAGATAATTTGCCATTAAATACTACTGAAAAAGAAGGATTCAGGTACTTCATGCAAGGTGTGGAACCATTATATAAAATTCCAGGAAGTAAAGCAATGACATCTATGATAGATGAAAAATATAATTCTCTTTCTAAAATTACTAAAGAAAAAATATCAAAAGTTTCTTCTTTAACAATTACTACTGATGTGTGGACTGAAACTTTAAATACAAAAAGCTTTTTAGGTATAATTTGTCATTTTTTAAATAATGATATAAATCGAGAGTCACATAAATTAAACAGTGTTACTACAGAACTACTATTATAGAACTTGATAAAAAACACGATTCTGATTATTTGGCAAGTAAAATTATATCAGTTTGTGAAGAGTGGAATATCCAGCCTGAAAATATAACAACTATTGTTACTGACAACGCGAGAAATATAATTAAAGCTGTCACAGATATTTTTGGCAAAAATAAATCCACCCCATGCTTTGCACATACTTTGAACTTGGTTGTGGAAAAAACATTAGAGACTTCTGAAGAACTTAAATTTATTGTTAATAATGTAAAAAGTATAGTGACTTATTTTAAACAGTCTGTTATAACAGCAGATCAATTACGCAATGCACAACCAAAAGATAAACAATTAAAACTTATACAATCTGTTCCAACCAGATGGAATTCGACTTTTTACATGCTGGAAAGATTTCTTTCTCTTTCTGAATATATAATGCCAATTTTACTTCGAAATGTAAATGCTCCTGATTAATAGAACACAGATGAATATTTTGAAAGAAATATTACAAATACTTTCTCCATTAGAAAAAGTTTCCAAAGAAACATGTGGAGAAAATATCTTACTGCAAGTAAGATAATTCCAATAATTAATTGTTTGCATAAACAACTTGAAAATTTAGAATCTATTTCAAAAGAAGCTATTGCTGTAAGAAATATTACAATATCTGAATTAAAGAAACGTTTCGGTGTTATTGAACAAATAAAATTACTATCTTTATCAACATTATTAGATTCACAATTCAAAAAAATACACTTTAATAATCCACTAGCATGTACACAGGCTAATATAACCATTAACGAATTATATAAAGAATCATTTACAGCTAAAGGAATTGAACAAGATTCTGAACCATTAATATCTATTATAGATAAAGAAAAGGAAAACGTAGTAAATGAAAGTCTTTAAACTTATCACGAGAAATTAACTTCAAAATCAAAATATAATGAAAAAGAAAGTATGAAATCTGGGTGTATATCAGTTGGACACGGGGCAATTGGACACAGTCCAATCACAAGTCGCTGTTCCAAGGACCCTACAAATGTCTCTAATCACACGGTGCTATGATTGGCTGTGTCCAAATGCACCGTGTCCAAATGCACCGCTCCCATGAAATCTAATGGACTTTGCTTAGAAGTAAAAAGTTAGATAAATTCTAGCGTGATACTTTTTAAACATGATCCAATAGAATATTGGAGATTACAGACAAATCAATTTTTTAAACAGATTGCTTTTAAGCATATTTCAATTAATGGTACTTCAGTACCTTCTGAAAAGTTGTTTTCCAAAGCTGGAATCATAATGACAGAAACTCGTAGTCACTTACAGGGAAAACGACTATCTAAACTTTTGTTTTTAAGTTCTTTAAAACTGAACAAATGGTATTAAAACTTTCTCGTAATTGTTTATTGAAGTCTAAGTGTTCTTTTTGTTTTATTTTTCTTTAAATTTCTGTGGAAAATTATTGTACTTGGTTTCCGGATGATACAGTGTTATTTATGAATTTGTATTCGACATTTCGTAAACATTTTAATTCATTTTTTCTGTTTACTTTTTTCTCAGAAATAATTTAGGTAGTTCCTCTTTCTGAAGAAGTGAACATAAATGTTTACGAAACTTCGTAAATAATTCCATAAAGTCATGTCGGAAATTAAATACAGTAATTTTCCAAAAAGCACAGATAAAATAATCTTTAATTTATTTTAATTCATTTTATTTTTCTTTTTATCTTATATTAAGTAGAAATTTTAAGTAGAAATTTTATTTTCCATTTAAGTAGAAATTTTAAGTAGAAATTTTAAGTAGAAATTAAGTAGAAATTTTAAGTAGAAATTTTATTTTCCATTTTATAAATATGAATAAGATTATTCATTATTTAAAAAAAATTATATTTTATGTTTTATATTGAGTTGTAACTTTGTTAAGATATCTTTGTAGATTTGCTTTATAATTTGTTGTATGAATATATATAAAATTTACAAATGCATAATTTTTATTCTTATTAGTCTCCCTTCTTCCATTCCCATTTGTGAAAATATTTACGATTAACTTTGACCAGGGAGTTGATTGTGTATCTCGAAACAGAGTGAAAATTACAAAAGTGAGCAAACACTACGGTATATGTCACATATACAATACACGTAGATGGCGTTAGGGACTAATGCCCAGAGCCACATATTGAAGAAAGGATATACTATACACTTCTAGTATTAGAGTGCATGGGGGTAGGGAATCTGGAAGTCGATTATGTATCTCAAAACGGAGTGAAAATGACAAAAGTGAGCAAATTTACTAGAATATTTGTAACTTCATTGGTCAATGCTAGTGAATTTGCTCACTTTTGTAATTTTCACTCCGTTTCGAGATACACAATCGACCCCTTGAACGCACCCCTGGGGTGCGTTCCAAAATTCTACTCGGTGGGTAGAGTACATTTAATTGACCAATCATAATAAAGAAATCCTAGTTATCTTTGTTCTTATTGGTCAATTAAATGCTACTCTACCCATCAAATAGTTTTGGAACGCAGCCTGAGATACACAATCGACCTCCAGTCTCCTATCACAATCGACCTCCAGACCCTATTTCTAGGGTCTTTATAAATAATGATCAATTGGCTCGTTCTTTTTAGTTGCACTGCTAAACTGGTGCAACAAGTTGAAAGGTAAGGCGACAGTTTCCCGAAAAGTGGAGGGGATAATTTTGGTACCAAGGAAAATCTCTACACGATATAATTTAAAGATCTGTTCTTTGTAACTGCACTGCTGAACTAATGCAAAAGATTAGAGTGAAAAAACGTATACTTGCCTCACTTCAATTTATTGCACCAGTTCAGTTACAAAAAATAGATCTTTAAATTATATCGTGTAGAGATTTTCCTTAGTACCAACATTATCCCCTCCACTTTTCGGAAAACTGTGGCATAATCAAATTGAAATGAGAAAATATATACTTACCTCACTATAACTTATTTCAGCAGTTTAGCAGTGCAGCTAAGAAGAACAAACCAAATTCTTTTGTTAATTCTCATCGTATCTCCAAATTAATGACTATGTTTACATAGCAACGTTAATCCTGATTAGTAACTAACATTAATGAATTCTCAAATCCGACTGGAGTACATTTTTAGATTTGAAAGGATATACCAATAAAATCTAAGAATTCATTAACTACGGTTGTTAGCCATGAGGTCCGATTACGCACAGATGCAATCGGATACCACCAATCACAAGTCGCTACTTCAAGGATCCTAGAAATGTCTCTAAGCATATGCGGCTGTGATTGGTAGCGTCCGATTGCATCTGTGCGCAATCGGGACACTCCCTTAAGCGTGGTCTACAACTTAAGTTATAAAATTTAAGCTTTAAGACCTAAACCGTAAGAAGTTGACCAATCGCAGTCAATTATAAGAAAAATAGTTGACTGTGATTGATCAATTTCTTAAGGTTAGAGCTTAAAGCTGTGACGTGATGATTTTTTATCGTCCGTCACTCGGAAAGTCGTTAGGAAGCCGAAAGCGGGCTTCCCGGCTGTAGGTGGATGTCGCGTCCTAGCCGTGGCGAATAGGACGCAAGCCTGCATGGTCCTACTATTTTTTGTATATAAAGAAAGAGTGCGGTCGAGAGGTCGGATCAGGAGAAAGAAGACTCACATCGGAGAGGATTTGCGGCCGACGTGGGAGAGGAGGAATCCTGACGAGGAGCATCGGATGGACCAAATGTCCTAGGTGAATCGCTTCCTTACTATTATTCGTAATTAAACGACAGGGTAAGCTACTCTAAGGAGGCCTGTTCTAGCTGACATCCAGATAACGAGGAGAACGTCGAGAAAGAACTGCCGAGGTGGACCAGTCCCGACCTGCCGCAAGGGAGCCGCAAAGACGGAGTCGACGGACACCGCGGACGAGCGGAGGACGGGTGTATATCAGTTGGACACGAGGCAATTGGACACAGTCCAATCACAAGTCGCTGTTCCAAGGGACCCTACAAATGTCTTTAATCACACGGTGCTGTGATTGGCTGTGTCCAAATGCACCGTGTCCAAGTGTACCGCTCCCGCGGAGGACAGCTGCAGCCAAGGCAAGTCCGACTAGCACATCCTCCGCGACCCGGAGCATCCTCCGAGCCAAGCGAAGACGCCGCGAGGCTCGGGGACTGAGGAAACGACTGCCAACATGATGTAGCGCCAAGGTCGGAGAGGCCAACAAGCTGGAGAGGATCAGATGGTAGACGAAAACAGTGGCCGCAAAACAAAGGCCGAAAAATGGGGGGATTCTATCCTGCAAATCGGCCAATCAACGGCCGATAGCTGTCGGAGCAAGCGATTCGAACCTGGGATAAAACCAGGTTCCAACGATCGCTCAGGAGCTTTTCTCCCCGTTAGCAGTGACCACGGATATTGTGAAGGACGTGCCATCCACGAAGCCGGCGACGAACGACGACTCGACCTCCGCATCCTGTAAGGCCGCTACCGCACGGGTTACAATTTTTGGTGTGAACCCAGAGGGGACCGCCGTTGCTGGCTGCCGACTGCCCCGCTCCGCGGGTTTTGGTGAGTCCGTTCCAGAGGGAACGAACAGACTGTCTTTTGGTAATTGGTGTCGCGGAGCGGTTGCGGCGTCGGGGAGCTGGAACTCGGCCGTCCACTCTGGGCGAGAGCCAGGGTTCGCGTTCCTCTCGCGAAAGGAACAGCTCCGCGTATCGTGAAAAACCCAATCGAATAACTGCCGACTATCCGCCGTAAGCGATATACCGGGCGAGCACACCGCCAAAAGTCTACGTAGCTGTCGTGACCTTCGTGGTCACGACTCGGGAATTTGAGCTACCGACGACCAGCATCGCGACCGCGAGCAGGGATAATGGGATTATTATTGAGAATCGCTGCCGTATAGCGGAAAGTAATATTTATTAATTTTATTATTGTATCGTAACTGCCGAAATACAACACATCTGTTAATTGCTACCGCCGAATAAACTTTAAATAAATAGTATCCTCATTATTATTATTTCAATAACCTCCTTATTATTTCAATAACCGCCAAACGCATTAACCCCTCTGACTTGTCAAGGAACCAGCCCCTCTACCTAGAGCAGGGCTGAGCTGCCGGTCATTCGGACGAGCTGTTCGGGCGGAGGGCGAGTTGCCCTCGTCGGCGAGACCATCTATTAGTGTTAGTGTTTAGACTTCTTTAGTGGATACGGACCGCCGTATCTGGCGCCCATTTAGTGTTTCACCTTTTGAGCTGTCGGGTCTCGCCAGACAATCTGCCGAACAATCGCCGAGGCTCGAATAATATTTTGTCGCTGCGCCCGATTCGTATGCCAACTGCACGAGTCGCGAGTGCAGCGTCACAAAGCTTAATCTTTAAGTAAAAAATTGACCAATCACAGTTGAATTATAGAAAAATAATAAATTATGATTGGTCAATTTCTTACTTAAAGCTTAAAGCTTCAGTTCTCATTGCAGATCACGCTTTAGTCCCGAATTACAATAGGTGATTTAAGTTCCAAGAAATTGACCAATCGCAGCTAAATTTGTCGAGAATAATCGACTGTGATTGGTCAATTTCTTGAAGTTTAAAGCTTACTACACCTGTGAATCGGAACTTATTAATCCGGATTAACATTGCTGTATAAATGTAGTCAATATTGCATAATACTGCAAATGTGTTCGATTTTCAGTGCTGTCACAGTTTACTAATAATTTCGGAACGATTTGAGTTAAATGATTAAATTAATTAAATAAAAAGACTTAAGGGGCTGGAGTCCCATGTCCCATTGCGACGTTTAGTGCCGATTGTTCCAATCTCTTGGTAAACTACCTGACATAAATCACATATCTGTCCGTTTTTCCTGGACAAGAGACAGACACATGATTTAATTGTTAGGTAACTTACCAAGAGGATGGAACAATCGACTCTTAGTATTTCTGTTAGAACTTCTAAAAAAATAGAAAGATTTGATTGGTTACGTGATACGCGTCACATGAAAACTTTATGCCACGAGATCACACCCTTGCGTTCAGATTCCCTACTCGAGTGCACTTTATTACTAGAAACACTACAGTATATGTTACATATACTATAGCACTTATACTATTAGAGTACACCCCTTAATTGAATAAAAGACATGCCAAAAAGTAACGATATTCTCTAATATCGATATATTTGTAATGAATATATCGGTGTATCGATATCATGTATGTTGATTCGTATCGAAACTAAATATCGATACATTAGGTGCCTCCGCACATCCCTATTGAGAAGCTATATTTAAGGTACTGTTATGGATAAAAGAGGATTCAGAATATGGGCCTATGTCTCGCGTAGACTTAGAGGCGAGCGTGTTCGCGTGAAGGCTACGTCCCTGGCAGTGACTAAGTCCCGCGTAGATACTGCGGCCCTGGCCACGAGCATGTCTCGTGTGAAGGTTGCGTCCCTGGCAACTAAGTTGTGGCGAGAAACTCAGACTCACACGGAGTCGTAAATGCAAAAGTAAAGAATTCTGTCGACTGATGCATGAATAGCTGCAGCGCGTGAGCTATTGTAGAAGGAAACACACCCCACCCGCGGATGGAGTTCTAGTGTAATCCGAAAAAAAGAAATCTCGCGCACTCCCCTCCTCTCACTCCTGGTAATATCGAGGAGATGGAGATAAAGTCCCGGCCTAACCGCCGTCACGACAAGACGTGTTCGAACAAGTTCGGACCTTGTGATTTTTTTTGTAACGTGTCTTGGAAATTTCCAAGACTTTGCTCTCGTAATATATCATTAATCGGAAAATGGCGTTGGGGCACTACTCTTAG